TGCCCTGGTTCTTCTTGGTGCCCCAATTGCACTGTTGGAAAAAAAGAGCAAGGAGTGTGTATATAACAGGCCATTGTGTGTGTAATTTTCAGTGATGGATAAAAAAAATCAAAGTCCCTAATAATGTGTGTCATATTTCTTGCTTGGTCTCCAGAAAGATACGCTGCGATGCAATAATAGTGTTTTGACCTATGGTGGGCCACACACTTAACAGTGCCTTCAGTGGGGGGTGGGCAATGATGTAAAGGGGTTGGTGCCATGCCATCTTGCAAGGACAGGGTCAAGATTTGGGGTGCGGAATTTGGCTTTGTTTTGTTTTAAAGGATATGAGAGGACTTTTAGGGTGCACCTGATATCTTTTGTAGGTTTCTGCTTTAACATGTTAGGAAACTACCCCCAAACCAAATCGCAACTTTATTATGGTGATTGACCAGAACTCCAGTATAATAAATAAAACCTCATTAAATACTGTAGTCAAAAACTTCTGTACTTAAGTGAAGCTACGTCTGCAGGTAGTCTTTCTGTCCTACGAAGATGACCTTCTCGGGGACTATGTAAGTCCCAATGTTTTGCCACAGAATAGGCAACTTCAGGATTTTGGTCATAAAATTCTTCAGTACAACCAGGGAGATTAAAAAAAAAAAAAAGTCAGTGGGAGCAGCCATCCTTTAAAATCAAAATCAAAAGCTGAAGCTAGGGAAACATCATGGCTTCCATCATATTGAGCCACATGTGAATTTTTTGGAATCTGCCTTCCGGGAGACTGAAGTGAGCTGTGGAAGACCATTGATTTTCAGCAACGTACAAGGCAAAGAAGGGTCAGGACCCACCACCGGCCATTTCCTACAGGCAGTCCAGGCTGCAGGTAGCCAGGGTTATAGGCTAGTAGTAATATCTGTCTGTTGCAGTGTTCTCAACCTTGGCGGCTTGTAAAGCATTGTGGGGTTCTTTTCCTCTCATCCCCCTCCTCCCACAGTGGCGGGGGGGGGGCGGCTTTTGGATTA